TGCTCATTTATAGAAGTTTAACAGTTATATTTTCATTCCAATTTCTTTAAAAAATCTTTTAGTTTATCACTAAGGGGGAGGAAAAATTAAATATAAAACTAGTTCATATAGGTATGGAGCAGAAATAACAAATCGTTTGCTCATATTTACTGTTTGTATAACCAGACAAGACAGTGTCTGTAAAATGATTAAAAGTTTTCTGTCCACGCGCCGTTTATCATCGTACAATGTATAGAAAAGTTTGAACTTGAAACGTTACTCATTAAAAAGGAATTTGACTTTTTTTGTTTAAGGTTGAAATATATACAAAGAATCTTATACATTCAATTTTCAAATCTCAGATATAAAAATAAAATTTGTAAGCATTTCTAACTCAAAATAATTTGCAAATTATCGTGATGTTTAAGAATTTTTTGAAAATTCTAACATGAGAAGCTCATAACATTTTTTTAGGGAGTTTTATAACAACTATTTGTAAAATACACTGATAACAACGAAAACCCTTGTATTAAGTTTTCAAATTTTTTAACTGTGCAAAATTTTTTTATCGACGATAATTAATATTTGATTAAAAATCAAAAATGTCTTAAGCCTATAAATAGCTTAAAAATAATCTACATATTTCAGTTAATTGTTTTTGAGTTATAAGTACACTATTAAACAAAATTGATTTTGTCGAAAACTGATTTTGAGTGAAAATTCCTGTATTTTATTTTATTTTTTTTTTTTTTTGTATTTCTCAACGGTTTTGAAAACTTAAGAATTTTCAATTTTGAATTCTCAAATGAACCAACCGGATTTACATTTCCACCAGAAAAGTTTAATATCAAAGAATTATTTACAATTCATTCAACTTACTATACTAATGTAATGTATGTATAATGACTAATAATTCAAATTTAAATTGATTTTAATGGCAATAATATCATAAAATATACTTAGTTATACAAGCTGACCGAGTGTCTTCGCTCAGAATCGATATTCATATGCAATGATTTTCATTGCATCATTGAATTCAAATTTAACATATTCAATGCAGGCACCCCTCTAGACAGCTACACTCTAGACTGTGCGACAGTGGGTACTTTCCAATCTTTTAATAATTGGTTATTTCAGTATATATAGGTACCTACTACCTACATATTCACCTTCGAGCCACAACACGAGCATTACAAAGGGCGTTTAAGTGTGTTTTTGGTATAAACCCGTATGTACATCCTCTTAAGATATTATAAAAAATAGCTTTGTTTTTCAAAAATGTGTTTGTTATTATTGTATTTTCTAAATTATGTAGATGAAAATGTAACCGAAAGCAAATTAAACATGCAATATTTATAAGAATGTGAATTCAATTGGTATTATAGATAAGTACCTACATCTCGCGTTACTCCTTCTTTTTTTAATTTAAAGAAAACATGAAACCTGGTTTATTTTGAACAATATATTCAATAAATATTCAAGATTGAATAATATATTATTATTTGTTTATATAAGTACAAACAAAAATAGTATTATTTTCAAAAGTGATTTTATATTAGATATTCTAAATTCAAATGATTTAGACAATTTTATTGTGCATTTGACATAAATAAAAATTATTATTATTCACTCAATAACAAATGCACGTATATATTATGTGTTTTTGAATATTATTAGTGATTAATATGTTGTACCAGCTTGCATATTACGATGACGATAGTTCTAAACTAGATATTCGTATTACGTTAAAATTTGAATAGACCTTTTAAGCTCTAATTCAATTTTTCATTTAGAAAATATTATACAGTACGTACCTAGGCAGGTATACTTCCTAATAATTCTTACTGTCTATCTAGTACGTATAGGTGTATTTACAAATGACATATGACCGTCTCATACGATTTTCCTCTTAAATTGGTAAGTAAAAACGGGACAGAAATACGTAGGTACACATATTATCAAGTACTGTAATTTTGGATTTAGAAACTTCAAAATAAAATAAATTCAAATTTAAAAATATTTTCTTTTTAAAAAGAATTAAATTTACTTATAATATTTAGTTTAACACATTTTGACGAATAAAAACAGAATTAAGTATTGTAATATATTTTTTTAATAATAATAATAATAATTCTTTTTTTCAAGGGAAAAAAATTTTCAATAACACAAAATTAATTGTATTATTAGTGTCTATATTTTGTTCATTGTAGTACCTAGGTGCCTACTTTTCTGTATATATACGTATTGTATGCTCTTATACTCTAAAGTCTAAAAATAAAGCTGTAAGTCAACTCGAATAATTAAGATGTATAGAAAAGAGCCTGACAGGTCACAGTAATAGGGTGTCAGTTCAGACACTCGATTCACTTTCCTCAGGGCTGGACAGTCGTGTATTTTTATTTATTATCTTAAGCTTAAAACCTACAATGAGGTCGAAAACAATTCTTAACGCAGCTTTGCAATTAAAACTATACTTGCTGATATTTTTCTTTATAATAATATAAGTCGCAGGTTTAAGGTATAGTTTTTCGTTTCACTAAAAGTAATTACTGTGGAGATTGAACAATTGTATCTTTAAAGTATCAACTAGAATCCTCAATTTTCAATCAATAATGAACAAGAATAAAAGAAAATGTTAAATCTTCCTTACTTACAGAAAAAATAATATACTCAAAAATAGATAAAAATTAAATAAATAAAAAACGTATATAGGTACCTTTGTTTTCTTAAATATAGATGTGTACCAAAAAAATTAAGCATCAAAAAGTAAATAAAATAGTAAATTAATAATATTGTATAATGATCATTTTAAAATGATTTACATTTTCTGTAAATTATTAAAATATGTATAATGGTCTAAAAAATGAGTACAATATGGCGAATCAAATAAATTAAAATTAATTCGAGTCCTTAAAATAATGACAATATTAAAATATTTATGGTTATAACTTATAAAATATAAAAGCACCTTCAAAAATCTATCACCATTCATCAAAATGAAGGGTTTATAACATTTTTTTATTAAGGGTTTTAATTATTAAAGTATACTGTATTAACAACAATCTACTAATGGTCCATTATTACGTTCATAAATCAATTAAAAATATAGAATACTAAAATTTTTAAAATTAATTTCTATGGTACTTACATAATATTGTATTTGCACTTAAATCTATGTAAAGTTATAAACAAAATGTTTTACATAAAATTCATTCAATGGTAAAAGTTATACTTTTAATGGTCACTATTTATATTAATTTCATTTTAATTACCCACAAATTAAATAAATAGTTACACAGATATCTACCCAAATACTTTTTAAATACAATTAATACCGTACACCTCTCATATTTATTTATTTATGAATGTTAGTTTTAATGAGAGAAATGGTGACGAGGGATAACAAATTATAAATTTATAAAATTATTGGATAAGATTAATTGTAAAAAATCTACAGGAAAACTGTTCTTATAAGAATTGTTCATTATGTTGCTTTTATAATATTAATACCTATACCCAATAATAGTCTATTATCTCAAATTTCAAAGTCTGGAGATATAATAGTACTAATAATAATTATGTGTTACCTTTGTCAAAATTGCATGCTTAAAAATGTAAATAAAATTCGATAAAATAATATGATATTTATAATAAATTAATATAGAAAAAAAAATTAATAGTTAAGAGATAACAACTACGTAATTAATAAATAATATTATGGTTTAAGATGAATGGTAAATAATAATAATAATAATAATAATAATGATAATAATATACTTAAAATTCATAATTCAATGCCATATATATGAATTAAAGCGTTAACAGTGATAATTAACCACCTGAGGTACCCCAGACAAAGTGTACAGCGAAATAATGATTTGTTTTTTAATTTATATAACATATAGGTGTAATGAACACCTTATCCGCTGTAGTTTCAGGCGTTTCAGCAAATAATTAAAACATTTTGGACTTTTAGAGAATCATATTCAATATGCATACTAATTCATAATTTATTTAAATTTGTATAAAGTAATAATTATACGAGTACCTATTAAAAAAGGATAAATAAATAATTTTGAAAAAAATACTATAGTGTTTTATAATATTTTATAGTAGCTGCTGCAGGTATTTAAAATTACGCAAATTGTTATTGTTATTTTATTACTGCAAGTCGAACAAACTGTAGGAATATACATACAATTTAATATTAAATTTAATAGACAGAAAACTAATATTTTATTTATATTTAAAAAAATACCCAGTTATTTGCCAACATATCTATTATTAAAATGGATTTTAAATATAATCGAATTATTTCATCTCTTACAGCATTGACTTTCCTAGTTTAAAAAATGATTCCTCGAATGAGAAATATTTCCTTAATTTTTTTAATTAATAATTTTGATACCTACGCTCAAAGAAGTACAATATATTTTTAATTGTGTTATTTGTGTACTATAAACGTTTTTAAATGTATTAGTTATGATGTTATCACATACCTATTGTACTTGACGAACACATTCGTGTTAACCTCGAGCTTGGAAAGTAGAGAAAAACGCCTCTAAAAATGTATACATATACTTAATCTTGTATATAAATTGAAATTTTAGTCTAATTCAAAGTATTCGTTTTTTATTTTATAATAATAGGTAATACATCATAACCCTGAACTAAACTGAATCAGACGGATAAAAATGATCTATTTTGGTTTTATGTTTAATTTTTGTTTTATTAAGAACGAAGAAATTGAAAGAAGATCATAGTTATCACTCATCGCGGCTTTCTTTTTTATAAAAATCTTAAATCTATATTCTATAGTAGGTATAATATATACATTTTTCTATGGAATTAAATTAATTAAATTAATTTGTAGAAATGTTGATTAAATTACTAATAATCATAACTATAATTAATATTTATAATGTATTTTTGAAGTATTTAGAGTCATTCATATAATCATATTAGTGAAAAATGTAATAAAATTTTAGCACCTATTTGAATGGCTATAAATATTTAATTACTTGGAACTTGTGATGTATTGTTAGTGTTGTAGTCTGTACCATCAAATGTATCCTAAAAGAGAAAAATATTATAAATATTATTGTGAATTTATTGTTATATATATTTTACAGAAAATATTTGTACATACCACTGTCATATTTGAAACGGAATTCGTTTTTTGTAAGTTGACCTGTTGATTCCGTTTTTTCTGGCTGTGAATCCGATGTATAGCTCTCAGCCATAGCTCTCTGAAACACAAAGTAAATTTGAATTAATATGGTTGTAATAACAATTTTATAACATAAATTAAATATTGGTACAACCCACAATGTATAAAATATGATTTTTATACTAATTAATTTTTCATAAATGATTTATTCAAACAAATACATTCTTTGTTATTGGGTTGATAATAAGGCTTCAACTTCCGAGGCCATTAGCCTGTATAATAACATATTGGTCTTATGACTATGGGAATACATTATGTTTAACAGTTGAGGGAGCTTGTGAAATATATTTAATTTTTTACAGTATTTTTATTAAGCCAATGTTTATAAAAAATGTTTAGATATTTTTTGAATTTTCCTAGTGCTTGTTGCATCGTTGGTGGATTCCCGAAAATTTGTTTGGAGCTTTTGAAACTGGAGCATTCTAGTGTGAATGTGTTTGATGGTCAGTTCTTTGTCATAGAGTTCACGGATCTTTTGTTATGAGGTGCAAGTGTGTTAAACGAGGTGTCCAATCGTTGTGATAACTACTTCTTCGTGTCTGGACGAGAGTGAGAGGGAATTTCCATGGGGAACGATTGATGTTTTGATTTCTTTAAGTTAATTTGTTTGAAATCTCCTCTCTTGACAGTAGCTTTTAGTTAGATTATTGATTCTTATGACTTTATTAGTGGGTCTTGAAATGTTATTTTGCTTATTCTTACCTAGCTAGGTGATGTTATTCCTTCGTTGCCCTACCAGTTAGTTCGTTGCCAATTATGCCAGCGTGCGAGGGCCGAGGGGACCCATAGAAATTCAAATGTTTTTCCTTGAGTAGTTGAGTGTGATACTTTTCTTGAATCACTTAAATGATTTTCGCGAAGGATTTTCGAGAGCAGAAGAAATATGTTGTGTTTGTGAATTAAATAAGAATGAGTACCTATCTAATATCTATCATCCAACCATGTGCCTATATAAGTATATATTATGCATAAGACTCGATGTACCAATATGTTATCTCTTCTGAAATTAAACCATAAAGCTTAAGGGAGAAATCTATGTTGCATCAACTATAAACAAAAAAAAAAAAAAAAAATGGATTCTCATGTCTATAATGTTATCCGTTACTAAGACCCTTAGACAATTTATTATCTATCTCATATTAAAAGATATAAAAAATAGTCTCATTCGGTTACCAATATTGTAAGAGAACCTGCATGTATATAGGATTTATCTGTATTGTGTAAGTGTCTATATTTAAATTGATACATTTTGTTAATTTGTTTTTAAACATTATGGGGTACTAAATAAGTCTTAGGTCAATATAAATTCCACCATGGGTAATAAGTATGTATTTACATAATGTATTAAACAATTAAATCTTTATTTTATTAACTAAGAAGATTTCTGGAAAAATAATGAAAGCTTATAATAATACAAGTATATTATGTGCTTATAACGTTATTGACAAAATTTAGAAATTAGAATATTACTTAATAAAGTAAATGTATATGAAATAACGATTTTCTATATACCTAATGAGTTATGTTTAATGTTTATTCTATATAATATAATTTTATATTATTAGTTGTTACCTTAAAGTATACCATATAACTATGATAAACACTAATAAAATATATCATAAGAGATAACATTACCATTACGCCTTTTATCGCATAATGAATATTAATTTCATGTACTAAAAAGAACTAATTTGAGACCTAATATATACAGTGGTTTTATTTTTATTGAGCAAAATCAACTTGTGTTATTAACAAACTAATAATTTGTGAAAAAAATGTTTGTAATATAATAATTAATAATATACAACAATTCTAAATAATATAAATACCTATTTATACGTTTGACAAACTTTTGTAAAACATTTTAACATTAATACAAATAAAATTAACAAAGCTTGGTTAATAATATTAGTATATTGTGTTTATTAAATCGTACCTATATTTAAATAATATATTATACAGGTCCAACAGTGACGTTAACTATAGAAGGCGGATTTGACATAAAGTGAAAATATTTAAAATAAAACTCGTAATAAATGTTAACAACACTATATTGCGTTGCACATAATGTTAAAACGTAGTAAGTAAAGTACATATTATAATATATTATAAAAACAGTATCAGCATACAAATTAATGTTGGTCTGGGACTGAATTTTAAGCGGGTGGATAGGTTGTCGTTGGTATATTTATAAATGTAGTTACCGGTCGTGTACAAAGATGATCTATTTAAGGTATATTATACATCACTTGCTCTCATAGTTATAATCTTCAAAAAAAGAAATACAAACACATTATATGTCACTTTATACTTTCAAAATTAATAATTTATTTTAATAGCATGTACACGATAATATTACGCGTATAGTACCTATAGTCTATATTATGTAAGTACCTATCACAAATGACACCAGTATAGAATATACGATAATGTTTTATATTACACGTTATTCTGTGCAGGTTATTCAATACGTAATGCACAGGACAAGATATTCGAAACACAAGCCAATCTGGTCAATCATACCGAATGGCTCATTCAACGACTGCATGTGCATAATGAATCGAAGGACATAAAATATATTATAACACCCGAATGGAACATATATGCTTTCGTTTCATAGACTTTTTATTTATATTCATATCTCCCGCCGGAAGGTAAAGCATTTGTTATTTCGTTTTTCCAAGAATTAAATATTTTAAGTTTTTTTTAAGATTTAATTTAATAAGAGTGTGTGTGTGTGTTTTTATGACGTTATTTTTGATTATATGTTATATAATTACGTACTAAAACAGTTTAATTCAACTGGACTGCGGAGTTATAATTGATTTGTCTATTACCAATTTACCGTACAGTGTACACTGTACACACTGAAACAAAGACAAATTGTTGATTTTGAAAATGGAGAAAAATAAAAGCTTGACGTTAGGTGGCAATAAGAACACCAACAACGAAATCGACTTCCTAGTATTCTAGGTACAAGTTCTAAGACACGCCCACATGTAACATCAACAGATTCTTACGCCCAATACCAGGTCCATGATGTCTAGACCAACAGTCAATCAGCAACCACGACGGACACATATGCTCGATCCAATTCTTATATCAGGGTTAACGACCCCACACAAAACAAAACAACTTCAACCAACAAGACAACATTTTATCTACATTTTTAGATGAATTTAAACCTATAATTTATCCCTTACTTGCCAATATCATTTGTAAACTAATCGAATCCAAAAATGATAAATAACTGGAACACCCCTAACTCTTTCATCGTAATATTATGGAAGGTACAGAAATCCTACAATAAGGAGAACAAAATATAATATATAGTGGTGCTGTCTGGTATACATATTTTTTTTTTTAATGTAGATTATTATGTAAATTCAGTAGGTATTATAAACAGTGTATAAATACTATTTCATGATGAAGTGCGCCTCCATTTCTATTTACTCATATTTTATTCCCATGTTATTATATTTATTTCATTTTATCTATTAAGCTTATTGTTTAGATTCTGTAACTGATTGTTTACAACAAAAATTGTGTTAAAAAAATAAAGGTAATAAATGTAAGTCAACAACAAAATACCATCAGAATATTATTCGTTTCTGATCATTGCAAAACACTTTAAAAAAAAAAAAAAAAACTGGAATCAATTCAACTATTGTAATCGAAAAAGTTTCATACACTCACAGACACAGACACACACAGACACAAAAAACACACACAACCTGAGGTGGCTCGTTTATGTACGAAATGATTTAGAAACATCAAACCAGAACTAATAGAAACAGAAACCATTATATAAACGAGTTTGTTACTTCTGATGCAATAACAAGAGATTTATTCCAAACTTCCATGATTTTTTTTCAATTGTCAGGTACCTATATATAATGAAAGGAATAAAAAAATAAATAATACATTTAATCTCTTTCTGGCTGGAGCATATTATAAGATATACCACGTTTATTCGACGACATATTTATGACTTCCGATAGTATGGAAGCATACGACATGACGACCACCTATATAATATAACTAAAACTGTCATTTATTATTTGTTAAAAAATGTTTAAAAAAAATTAATATGTTTATAATTTACAGGAAAAGTATAAGGTCATGTTAAGTAAAGGTAAAAAAAAAATATTAGGTATATTATATAGTAACTATAATTAGTAAGTAGTAATAACATGATATTACTTCAAAAATGTGTCTACAAATTAAAAACCGTTCATTATGTCTAGTCCATCGGTTTTTATTCCTGGATCAACGCCTGAAAATAATGGAGATTATCTTTCAGCACGAAGCTAAAAATACTTTTTTTTAAATAATGACGCCTACAAAACATAATATTATTTATGACTGTAATTCATAATATTTATTCAAGGGACAGACCTGAATACTTTCAAAATTATCAGATTACCCATACTAGTTATTATATAGTATAAGAAGCTATAAGGAATCTAAAAAAAAGAAAATCGACGACTATATTAAGTAAATATTTACTTTTATTAACTTATTATAGTATAATGAATTTATGAAGAAACGCAAATATACTCAATAAAGAAATGTTGTTTTGGTTTTAACAGAAACTTTATTTTATTTAAGAAAGTTTATTATGATTTTTTATCATACCAATACTTAGCATATTTTTGGGATGACACAATATCATCAGCTGTTTTTCATTAAACTAAAACTGTCATCTCTAATGTCCTCCATCCTAGCTCGTCTCTCGCTATAATAGGCACGTCGGTTATTGATGTATAATGCCACGTGTGCAAAAACGCTAATAACTACACAGTGATAACGATGACGCTAAAATAAAGTGGTAGGTATATTTATAACAAACTAAACATTTTACATTATAGAATTTAAGTAGTAAAAAGTAGTAGTCGGTATTGTTAATAGTAAAAATAGATAAAGTA